GAACAAATCAGCATGGATTTGGTTGCCTTGCAATGGAAAGTTTTTTCAGTCGTTAATATTCTTAATCAACTAAATTTCGAGAATGTACCATGGCTATAGCATATTTTCTGCGAAACTTCTGGATTCGATGGCAGAATTCGCTTTAAATGATCAATTCGATCAACTTCCATGTGTAAAGAATATCAGAACTGAGCAAAACGCCGGTTTTTGTTCTCTGCAGAAGTTTGCTATGACAAATAAAATTTTTTGGAATTCAGCGATAAATTGCCATCAACAAATGTTGTAAAATTATGAAGATTACTCGGGAAACAAACTTTTGTGACAACTTTCGAAGGTAATATTGAGCAGTGGAAATGGATGAACGGACGGATGTGCTGTTGATGCGAAAACGAACGAGAACAGTTGTCTGGCAGGAGGCACTTGAGTGTGTGAAAATATTTCTGAAGAAATTCTTCAGTCAAAATCATTTGAGCAGAACATTTTCGCTTGTTCATCGAGTCCACTCGAAATATTGGAGAAATTTTCGAAGGGAAAAAGACGGTGATTCGGGCAGCACTGATGCTCTAACTATTACTAAAATCATGAGCAAAAAGATGTGTTATGAAGACGATTGCTCAATTACAAGGATGAAGGTAAAGGTTTAAGATTGAAAATAAGTGTAAACGAGCTCAAAAGAGAAGAAATGGTTTGACGAAGTGGAATTTTGCTATTGAAGAATTTTGTTGAATGATTTGAAACGCAGGCAGCAGCATGAAGCGATTCGATGAAGAAAAGTTGAAAAATGGAACGAGTTGATGTGGCCAAAGGGAATGAAAGTACGAGACAAAAATCAGACAACAAAGCGATTCATCAATCTGAATGCGGATTGCTTGCTTCAGTTTTGAAATATACTCTAAAAAGCACAGCGAAACGAAAGTATTTTTGAGTTATTACTTGAACTCACCAACAATTCCCTACCATACGCTATGCGATTGTGCAGGAAAATGTGTCAAGAGATGATTAGGTAATTGTACGATTTGAACGGAATAATCATATTCATCGATTAGAGGAGAAAAGGTCGCGGCGATTACAGAGACGACTTATAAACGTTCTGCACGAATCCGAGATCGGATGTAGCATCGGAGAAATCGGAGGTTTGCGTCTGATCGCTGTAACAAGATGCGCTTATGCCAAATCGGAGTACCATCGCACATGCGAATGCAGCCGTGGTGAGATCCTTTGAATAGACGGCTCAGTTCATGCTGGTATTCAGCATATATTGAGCGCTGGCAGCTACAAGATCTCAGATGAGATACTAACGATCAGTTTGAATGATACCAGATATATCACATTTTGTGGAACCTCCGCGAGATATTAATTAGCCATTGTTCGCGACCAACTGAGCATTTTGATAAATTCGATTGCTGAGAAAAATGAGATTTTATTAAAGTGTAAACTTGTAGAACAACGGAAAATTTCTCTTGGTTTACGCGTTGAACACGTAAAAAGCAGGCACTCTAGAAACCAGAGCACAACGAACTGAACCAGCACTCGACTCCACCGAATTATGAGAAAAACTTACGAGAAATCAATTCATGGAAAGAATTTTCGAGCAGATATAATGAAAGAATTCCATCATGGCAACGGAGAACCATTAGCTAACCACAAGCAAGCATCTCCCCACTTTCTATGAACTGCTTATTGAACAACAGTAGATGCTGGTAATGATATCATTACGAACCGACTATGGATCCATCCCTTTTAACAAATTGATAAACTCCAAAATTGTATGCTCCCATTCAGGAATAATCTGATTTGAATAATTTGATTACATCCTAAGACACTATAGATATTGTTCAATCATATTTTCNCATATTTTGTGCAGGCAGGCACCCATCCAATTCGAAAGCATGATCCACTCATGAAACAAAGTAACTGAATTGAGCGAACACAAATTCATGTGCTCATCTTTCTTTGTTAGCTTCTCAACAACACATCGAATGCGAAAAACTTGTCGATCGGTGTTAATGGATTACTCTTAAAAGAAGATTTTCAGTCTTCAAGATACCAGTTGCAGTAAAAGTTGAAAATTTGGGCAATCCGAGTCGAGTACACGAAGAAATGAAAAAAACTAAAAGATGCCGAAAAATGTGTTTTGAACGTTGTCCCACAGAACAACAAATCAACAAAGTCTCACTGAGTATCAATGCTTTGAAAGTGCCTTCCTCAAATAAGTTCTATCGTTGACTGATTCATAATTCCTTTGAATCGCGAATTTCTGAGTCAGTCCAAAAAAAAAATTCTGGCAAGCCTATTTGTTGTGAATGTTGAACAAAAATTTTCATCGTTTTCCGGATACAAAAGAAGTTTTCGTCTAAGTTCATCCGAGGAGTACTCTCAAATGCTTTTCAAGAAGCAATCAACCTTCTTAAGTTGTTTGAGAATGTGTAAGTTCAAATCTCGGATTTCGCCAGTCGAATGATTGCACGATTTGGAAAGGATTCTGTTGCTGAGATGATCAACGAGCATTGCAGCTGAATGAAGCTCCAAATTGAAGGCATATTACAAATTGATCTATTGATGAACGGTTGCAGATGGATTTATTGGTGCTTTAAGGAAGCAGAGTGTGCTCTCATTTCCCTTCTTTTGCGAGAACCAAGTATTCGAAATATTCGAAATTACCAACCACCCTATTAGGCTCTTCCCAACTGGTCGCGAAGTTCTGCACAAAATAATAAAAGATGGTATTCCGAATCACACAAATGATCATAAACTCTTGAATTTGCATAAATTTGAGTTCTACCGGAACGTTCAACTTCATCACAATTATTTGCTGGGCAAACGATCGAATAATCTCAGCTTTTGATGAGAACACTTAAATTGAAGCAGTGTGAATTGATCTTGCGGGAACAATTGAGGCAGCATGCCACAATATATTATCTGACGAGTTGAAAGCTTCCGATGGCATTAGCTCATTGCTTCAGTGCATGGAGCGATTTATTAATGAGAATAAATTGTCTGCAAAAAAAGGATGCGTTCTTTAAATTCCGATCCGTTATAAGTGTGCTCCTTGGGGAAGCGTCTATTTCTCTTACTTTATAAAAACAATAGTGCTGAAAAAATCAAAAACTTGATGAAATCAAATTCTACCAACAACTGCGAGACACGATTGTTGATTTTGATCTATTACAAACTGACCATGATTCATTTTATGGATTAACCAGAATTCAGCAATTGTCCTAGATGCCATCTTCTTCATGTAGACAGTTTAGACATGACGGCTGGCTTAGCATATTTGAAAATAAATCAGGAACATTAGGTGGTAATATGCGAGATTTTTGGATAGAAGTTACACTCAAATAAGGTCGAAATGATCAGTGCTTCAAACTCCTTGTAAAGACATCAAAAGTTTCACAAGGGTTATAACACAATTGCGCAGTGATTTATTGCAAAGCGAGCATGATGCATTCTATGGATGAATGCTATTGCAAAGTATTGCCGTTCCGTTTTAGAATGCTGATAACACGTTTTATGATACATCTGATATGAAGTGATGTTCATTCAAACGTTCAAACGTTCAAACGCTATAACGTTTTGAACACTTGAACATTATAAGATTCGATCATTTGAACAAACACAGTTCAAATGATCAAATGCTCGTTTGAACATTCAATGTTTAAAACGTCCAAATGTTCAAACGTTCCAATGCACAAATGAAAATGTGAACATTCGACAGAATGATTTTTTGTGACGTATTTCATGGTCTCTATCAATCTGATTACGTGTCTAAACGTTGTTGAATTTTTGGTTTTGAACCTCTTCAACATTGACGAATTAAAGCAGATCTCAAACTATTCTGTGCGAACACCTCTTGATGAATCTGGATAAAGCTACTAGCCGGTTGGGACTTATCCCATTTCCGGGTTGCTTCATGCCCAATCAAGAGTCAATGCCTCAGCTGCACCCCACGTACTGCCACAGTTCGTAATCTCTCGGCACTTCTCTAATCACCTCAAAGACAGATTTTCGGGTGAGCAAATTTCCCTTGACACTTTTCCACAGACACTGTTTCAGCTGACGCTATTCGATGATTCTCCATAGACCGAGCCGATGCCTATAATAGTGCCCGAGCATCTTGTTAACGAAGGTGTATACTTCAGCTGATTTCGCAAAGATGGATTTTTTTTNTTTTTTTTGCATGCAGCACGACAGCGTTTTAAAAACCATCATTATGTGGTACTTTCGTTTCAGCGATACAACACATCACATATCCGTCAATTCTGCTGTTTTCTTCTCTCAAAACTTCTATTGTAGGTTGTGAAAAGGTGTCTAAGCACCACGATAGAATTAACTACGGAATAAGGCACTAATCTCTTCGTTCACATGCCAGTTACGATGTTTGAAAGTGCTTATCATTGTCTGTCCATTTTCTGCACAACATCAGTCGTATCGCACACTTCTCTCGCAGAACATAATACTACTGCCCCATTGTACGTAGAGGAAGGAAATATAAAGGTTCATTTTAAACGAAAAAAGTGCGAGATTTCGCGATGACTCTAAAACAGATAAGCAGTTTGCTCTTTGACGATGGATGTCAAACGAAATTTCCGTTCAGTCGGAATAAGACTTAAATCATTTTTCAAGGTTCCGAAATTCGGTATTCTGACGGAACCTCAAAATCATTTGGTTGCAATCCGATTCCGGAATCCGACCGAATTTCACTGAATGTTATCGATCGAATAGTGGTCGGTTACCATCACTACTGTGTAGAGCAAACGCGAAATATTATGCTCCGTTGCAGAGCAATTTTAGGTTAGTGGAAGAACACCCGATTGCGCCACAAAAATTGTGTTTTTATTTTTGTCACGTGTTGTCACTTATTATCACCACTGTGGTCCATCATTTTGCCGTCACTGCCCAATAAGTGAGAAGTCCCCAAGCATTTTGTACCATAAATTCTACGAAAAATCACGTTTATCTGTACAAAAATTGACGGCGAACATTCAGAGGAATGAGTGATCTCAAGCGAAGAGATATGGTGCTCGTAATAGAATCGCCGATGAAGTGATCACAATAATGAAACTGAACAAGATCAATCCCAGTCGATCCACAACCATCGCTGCGAAGTGCCATTCATATTCGACATGTCTCTCTTCGAGATCGTCGTCACTNACCAATTTTTGGAATTGACACTCATTAGTTTTTAGAGCGTTATTCAACAAATTATTGTTATGCAACCATCATTACCTATGCGCAGATGATTGAATTCATCAAAGGGATGACCTTTTGACTGAAAACTGACGAAAATTGCTTGTTTTACTGAGTGAAACCAAGAAGGGATTTGCTTGAAAAGCGTTGTGATTGCTGATCAGATAATAAACCCAATCAATGTCTACGCATCTCATTTGATAATTGTCAACTTTGACACGTTTAGCAATCCCAAAAAGGACTTTTTTGCGCAAAAATTTGCTCGCATTTGACAGATCACAGTTTGATCTAAAACTACAATTCTCGAAGGAACACTCGCATGGAACCGGTTCGGTGCAAGGGTCTGTTTTCCGGACTATCTACGAGTTTCAGGAGACAAAAATGAATACGAGAAATGGGATACCAACATCAATGTGCATTCATCTCAATCCGCTGACATTTTGACACGTGCGATTAGAGACATAGCTGCAAGCTAGCAATAAGGATATCAGTGTTTAATGATATCGTTAAACGATCGAACCTTGACATGGTCGTAGATTCGATTGAGAAGTTTCAATCGCTGCTGTAATATATGATCTTTCTTTGTTGTTTTGCAAACTTTCAATTGGAACATCACCGACTGGAAATTATCACGTAACGCTTCACCCAAAATCTGTACAACGCGAGTATTACCGTCCATCTGAAACTGTTTTCCAGTGCATCATGACAGTTTTCACACACTGAACTTAGAGAATCGGTGTCCCTGATAGGAAAACATTTTCACTTTTCTTTTGCTTTGCACCATCTCATGACATGTGAAAAATTAAGCATAAGTAAGAATACTACCCGACAATTTTCGGTGAGTACTTGAACCAGGTTTCAAATTTAGAGATTCCGAATTTCTCGAGAATTCAAGCGATTTTCTCATTAAAATACTCAAAATGTAGAAGGGAACATATGTAATGGAGTAATTTTAAGTGAACTCACATATGAAAATGCTGTATTTACATCATCGGCTACATTCTTACGCTCTTTCCAACTCTGCTGAATTGTTTTGAGGTTGTTCTCACGCTTCGGCTGTTTCATCATCAGAAGGAATGGCACCCATTCGAGTAGAATGAAACGCATCTTTAAGGAGAAGCACATCGTCATCATTTGAAAGACATTTGCTAATATCCTTTAGGTAACACTCAATCGGTTGGATCAAGGGAAATGTGATGATGTGGTTACGAAGTGAAATGGAACAAGTGAAATCGTATCAGTGCATGGTGAAGAACTGACCCAAAAGCCCATTCGATGGTTTGTGTCAGGATTGCGAAAATGAATTGCTTGAACGTAAACCGTGAACCCGGTTGCTGCAGTCGATACCACCGTACAGCTTTGAAAGAATATACCTGGAAATTATTATTCTCCTTCGAGTATCGATACTAGCATGCGAAAAATCATTGACGTTTTACTATTACTCATTCTATTTTGTCAATTTGTCGTTACAGTTAAATTTTTCTGTTACATTTCATTTTCGTTATCGGGCATATATGTGCGTGTTGTCATCGTCTTGTCATGGCTTCACAAGCGATGAACTTTCAACAGCAAAACAGATAGATCGTCAGGTTATCGGATAATTCAGCGTTCAGGAACAATATCCAATTTTGGACTACCGAGAAGCGGAACGGCTTCAGACGTTGACGGTGTCATCTCGTTCATGATCGTTGAGAAGATGCAAATCGCAAGCGATACTGAAATCTGCAATCCAACCTTCTCACACGTGTACGGACTTAGCGTGAAGCCAAGCGCAATGAGAAGCATGATCAACATACATGGCATGATCAAGTTGAATGCATAGTATCTGAAATGCAAAGTCTTGTTTTAGATTCCGCGATTCGAATGTGTCAATTGAGTAGCGTAATGGCTGAGGCGTTCAGGTTCGCTCGATTTGAGCAATAAATCGCTTAAGCTGTACTAAAATCTCCAAAATAACAGTCAATTTGATTTCCAAGGTTGCCAGTCAGAAAAGTGAAGTCATAAACTTGCAGTGTTCTTCGTCGTAACTGAATGAAGAATTTGATATCGGGATACGGTTCTGGGCAGCACTCGTAGAATCTTTCATTACGAACGTCCCATGTCTCTGAAACGAAAATACAGCGAAATAAACATTGTTCTTGCTCTTAGATATGGTATTATGGCATACAAAGTTTCGCTAAAGGAAATTTGATTCAAACATTGCAAATGAATTATTAACGAAAGCTGGAAATCGCAAATTAAACAATTGAAGGAAACTTACTGAGAATAACCCATTCGCCATTTTCAATGAAATCCGACATATCAAAGTCACCTGGTTGTAGATCGACTTCTCGCCCATTGTGTGTCCATGATCCGAACTTGAACAATGATCAATAAGGATCTGTTCTTCGCTTTTCAAAAAAAAAATTCTTTGAATATCAAAAGAATTTTCAATATTTCATTCAAAATTTATGCGATACGTCATATTAATAATATTTTGTGCCAAATGCATTCAGAATTGTTGCTCGTTTTGTTAGAATAGGAAAGGAATTATAAGATTAGATGCTATGAAGTGAAACAACTGAATGCTTGAGCGTAAGCACCTTGAAGTAGCAAATTTGTTCATCGAACGGAAACCAGTAAATATCGATCTTGCATGAAGCCTTGAAGATGCCCGGAGGAATCCATGATATCGTTCCATCATTATAGCCGAGAACATTCGACTTGAATGTGCTATCGAAAGTCGAATCAACACTGCAAACCACTTATCATTGTATTATCACCGAGAACGCTCGAGAATTTCGCTTGCAACCAAATATTTTAGAATGAAAAAGTATTTTTAGAATTTTTCACGCTTCAGAAGACACCGGTCGATGGGTGAGAAAACGAAAACAAAACCAATTCAGCATGAGACCTGTTATAGAGTAGGATATCTGGCTGCCAAACCGACCCAGCCGGGTGCCTCAAATCAGTAACATTTTCATATTCACGAGGATCCCATCGCAATTTTACATCGGTCCATTGATATTTCAACCAAGCATTCACTTCAAGTTTCTCTTCCTTTTCATTCTAAAAGTTCTAGTAACTGCATTAACGACTCCATTGTTTGAAGCAGAAGAAGCTGATTCAACCCCGAACTGCAATTATTTTCCGTACATTCTCTAACATAACGATCAGGGAATATGCAAGCTTCAAAGTGAAACCACTCCGGAAGCATGCCTTTCTGTAATCATGTCTTATTTCAAGCAATCATTCATATGAATTTTGTGAATTTAATGGATGTACCGATGACACGTGCAATCGCATTTCATACATGGCATTTCATCATGTTAATGATGACCATGCACTATGCTCCAATTACTGATACATACTGCTTGTGGAGTATATAGTTATCACTTACCAGATCAATGATCTGCTGAAACGAAACACCCAATTTCACCACCACAGCATCACCGCTGTTCTCAACGGGTCTTTCGAGAGCGTTGTAGTCACGAAGTAGATCATTACGAAGTCTCAATTCAGGTGGAGATGCGAACGTACCGAATAAACACAATGTTATGATGAGCACAACAATCAGTACCAGTGTAGAGGTAAGCATTACATTCAAACGTAGAAATATCACTCAGCTAGCAGAAAATTATTAGTACGATTCAACTTTCAATCACGTAAACGCCAAGTTGAACGAAATTAACAGTGAGTTGTCAGCTGAAGTAGTTAAGTTCTGACGAAAGCGTTGCCAGTCAGATTGGTAAGAAGAACATGTTGTTGCAGATGAGATAACGTTTCAACTGAAATATTGATTGGTGTAGTAATTGGATTGCGATAAAATTGGATGATGCATCAACTGAAAACCTATCTATTCAAACATTCATCCATTCAGTTAAGCAAAAGTGTAGGTAGACTAAGTTACAATCCATGAAACTGAGACTAGCATTTGGTCATATGACATAAAGAACACTTTGAAAGGAGCCTGAATTTGCACAATGATGAATGAGTGTCTGATGATATTGCGGACTTGGGATATAGGAATTGAATGACAAGATGATGCCGAAATACTTAAGAAGGAATTTAGACGAAACGCCTAGTATTGTTGGAATGCTTGAGTGCTGCTGCCTATCTATCGAAGAAACAAACATCTCGAAAGGCCTTCTCGAAATGGATTGAATTTAAATCGAATGCAGTTGGACGGAACGAAAAAGTGGGACGATGTTATTATTTCGAACAGGAAACATCGTCATTGGGTTCAATAAAAAATTACTGAAAAATAAATCAACATCAAATGCGCCTCAGTGATTTTTGAGCCATAAGAGTGGATGGAAACATTTTATCATAGATCGTAATTCCCCAAAGGATTAATCAACGTGTTCCAGATCCGACAAAGGATTTGCTAGCAAGAAAATCTTTCGAAAATGCTGATCGATCTTATAGTGCAATCTAGATATTAATGGCGATCACATGTTCCAGTCAATACAAATTCGTTTGCCCCAATTAAAGCATTAACTATTTGTGAGGTTACGATTTCAGTCGCTGATCGTAAGTGTGGAAAGAAGCAAATACAGCTGCTGTCATCAGGCATCATCCTGGTGAGTTTTGGTTGGCTGTTTTTTGTCAGCTTGAAAAAAATTTGAGACAGGCAGAATTGATGGGAAATCATCCGGATGGGAACCTTACAGTGTCATGTAAAATCATGATGGTTCGGATGAAATTCATGAATAAAATCATAGAGCTTCGATTGAAATGCGATAGAAAGACTCCTAAAACGATAATAGAACGAAAGTAACTGAAAATATTCGACGGAAATGGGAAAACTTAGCGAAGAAGATAGAGAGTAGTGAAAATTATGGTTGGAGAGGGAACATTTACGCCGAGAACTGCCGATATTGCCGAATAAAAGCAGCTGCGTTAAAGAGGCGGTGGTGTTCGTCATAGGAAATGGTATTAGNAAAAAATGCTGACGAGCACAGCGAAGGGATGGATATGAAGTAAGCAGCAGCAGCAGCCGAAGAAGAAGCCAGTTATGCAATGCTGCCAGTCGGTTGCTGTGGGCTATTCCTTAACTAATGATGATGATGATGCACACATCGATCTCACTAGTCCATTGGATTCGACTCGAATGAACGCCTACTGCATGATCAACAAATCAACAGAAACACTTTCTATAGACTGATTTTATTTGGGATCGCTTCTGAATGGATTCACACCTTAAGCAACCATACAAAAACAAACTTATCCATATGCATTCCTAAGTGCAAAATGTGAAAATATATCTTTCAAGTTCACAACATCCGCCACGAGATAATTCCTACAATTAGGAGGCATAACGGCAACTTCCTCGATGAAAAAAGCGCAGATTTGCAAATCAGGTGACCTCTAAGATGTAACAGTGTTGTTTTTTTTTTACTATTTTGGTATTTCAGTAGGCAAATGATACTCATTTTCTGATGAGAGCGCTCCAAGGTGATTATCACTTAATGCAGTCAATGCAGATTCTGTTGTGGACAATCGTTGTGTTGAAGAAAAAATTTTATTTTCTCAATGTGAACGGATTTTTTTTGTGACATTGTTAAGCATAATGTAGCATGATTGTTCCAAAATAAAACGAATTGATATCGACATAATGCAAGTTGCGGTTTTGCATTCAGTGAACGGAATGAAAGAGGTCACGAACGATGCGGTGTATCGAATAGTTCATTGGGAAGATTGTTGACAAATGCTGAAAATATCGCCGAATATTTTTATTCAATTCAAAA